GGGGGAGTAGGGTGTGAGGCTTCTGGGGCTGGTGGTAAGGAGCGCCCAGGGTAGACCCAGAGGGCCTGGCTCCTGCAAAGGCTGGCAGTGAAGAGGGCTCCCCTGGGGGAGTCTCCCCATGGAGCTGATCACTAATGGATCCACCTCACCTGGCAACAGAGAGCTCCCACTCATCCTCTGACTTTAACTAACACCTCCATGGGACATTAGTACAGGCATCAGAGAATTCACACAGTGCACATGCAATACCCAAGAGTGAGGGCTTAGGGTGGACAAAAGGAGCTAAAGCAGGTAAGTGCTACCTGGGAGAATTAAATAAAGCGATGGGATATGCAAGGTCGTTTGTGATTTCCAAAGGCCCATACTGGCTGGTCGCTGTAAGGACCGACAGAGTCTCCCTCGTCTCCTCACTTTGACAACATTCTACCCCAGAGAGTCAGTCCTAGCCTTGGGCTTCCTCCACATGGCAGATGGCCCATCCCGTAGAGCTAGGCTCTGGAGGGACTTACGTGAGGTTGGTCAGGTCAAACTTTCGGGCAGAGCCGTGGGCCCCCAGATGTGGGAGCAGCAGGGGAGAGTGACTCACAGGGCACAACGAGGTACCAAGGCCATAGCTTCAGGCTCAGAGCAGAGGCGGAGAACCCTTCTGCCCATGAAGGTTTTGAGAAAGCCCAAGATAGTACAACTCACCTGACATGTGACTCATCTCCACGAGACCAGGGGACATTGAGACCCCTGCAGAGATGAAGGAGCCCAGATGGCAGGTCCCCCTGCCCTAACCAGGTCACTTACTCTAGCTGGGCTGCTCCTGCTGGTGGTAGGCATGGGGGCAGCTGGAAACTTGGGAAGCAGCCCTGGAGAGGGCAGGTCTAGGCCTGCCTTGGCCTCCGGCACCAGGCAATGCCGACATGGTCTGCCATCCCTCACCCAGGAGCCCCAGCAGGTCTGAGAGCAGGGAACACTCAGGCCCTGAGTAAGAAAGGGCACTAAGCCCAATGAGGTTATCCAGTTCTCTCTCTGGGCCAGGTGGGTGCCAAAGGCCAGCTCCCTCCGTCCCTCTTTCTCTCTAATCAGGCCAGTGTTACCCCATGTGCAAAGGCAGGAATGTGTATCTCCACTGACTCGTCTGTAGGCCACTAGCAGGCAAGGGGCAAGGGGAGGGCCGGGAGCCCTGGGGCTCTTGCTTCAGCCCACCCAGGAGCACCCCCACCCCACAGTGTTCCTTACCGCCTGCAGCTTCTCTGTTAGCTCCCGACGTCGGTTCCGGCACTTGGCAGCGGCCAGCTTGTTCCTTTCCCTCCGGATTCGACGCTTCTCCTCCTCTTCGGGGGACAGCTAGAGGCCAAGACAGAGGATCACGATTAGGTTCAGAAATGGTTCGCCAGCATTTTGGTTTTTTAACTGCATTTTAAGTAGGGCAGGAAGCCCTTCTGGGACTGTGGAGGGGATGGAGGAAGGCATGAGGAGTGTGGCCAGGCTCAGGGGTCCCTGGACGTGCAGCTCCCTATTGTCCTCCACCAGGGAGGACGCTTAGAGCTGAGCCCACCCCTAAGGTGATGTCCCATGTTTGAAGGGAGGACAGGGCAGCCATGGGTGAGCGGCGCAGGGTCCAGGCCTGATGGCAGCAGTGTTTGTCACGTCAGCCCTGATTCAGTGCCAAGGCCAGAGAGAAGCCGGGACTGCTCCCCCCAGGGAGCCCCTCATGCCAGCCAGGCCTGGCCCCACCCCCTGAAGCAGCTTCTTCCAAACCCAGGCTAATTACTCCGCCCCATCCCTCTGCCTGCTCTGCAAGGCTCATTACCCCCATTTGGTTAAGTGGCTGGGCCCAGAGTAAGAACCACTGGGGGAGAGGGGGACTCTTCTGTTGCCAGAGGGAGGGTCAAGGATGCCACCCCACTCCTGACATTCTCTGCCAGCCCTGCAGTGCCAGCTGCTCACAGTCCCATCCCGAGGCCCAGCGGTGTCCTGGCACAGTGCTAGGCTGGACAGGATGGGCAAAAGGAGGAAGAGCCCTCAGGCATGTAAACTCCTGCTGCCCCCCACATCCGCTTCTACGTGGCAGGCATGGTTAGAAGGGTTCGCGATTATCAGAGAGCTGAATGAACAAACTTCCCCTGCCAAGCTCACGATCTAGCCGATCTATCTTCTTACGATGAGGCTGGTTAGGGGCCCATGACTCATGCCACAGGGCAAGACCTCTGCTCCACTAAGCAGTGCTGACACTGTGTTTACACGGAGCCCTTCCAGGGCTATGACCCAATGCCCCGCACAGGCAGAGGTGACACAGGAGATGGCCGTGGGCCAAGGCAGACGGCAACTGTAAAGGAAAGACCATCCTGTGCAGTCATCAGACACCGGTGGCACAACTATGCACCCAGGGCAGCACTGGGGCTTAGAACACTGAGGGAATAGGACCTGGGTCCTATACTCTAGGGACACTTGGGCGAGAATGCCAAAGCCACTTTTGGAGAGGATGAGACAAGCTGCCCTGCTGAGGGATGCTCCCAGCCACCCTGTGAGGGAAGGAGCCAGTCCCTAGCTGGGCCCATGTCAGAGTCCCTGGGATGCTCCCCGAAGCCTTGCAGGTCTGCTGCTGTGATGTCTGGAACAGCAAAGCCAGGCACAGCATCAGGGAGGACAAGCCCATCCCTGTCAACTCTGAGGTGACCCCGTGGCCTCCCGGTGCCAGGGCCCTGTATCCAAATTGTCCAAACACTGGCAAGAAAATGAGCCAGTTGACTGCTCAGACACAAGATCTCTCTGAGGCCATGTGAGCACAGACAAGTTCATCACACCTTCTCAGCTTTCAACCCCCCCCCCC